ACACTCATTAATGACATACAACATTTTAAGTATTTCCAACTTAGATTTTTTCTGCCTCAACGCACGTTAACATCTGAAGAACAAGAGAGAAGATAAAAGGAAACAGCAGCAACAGCAACCAACTAAACCTCTTGATTAAAAGGCATCAAGGTACGTCCAAATTTTCCAAGTAAGCTGAAGTCTAAAAAGGTGTGGATTTTGTTCTACCCTGGCAACCTCATTTTTCCTATCCTTAACCTACATCCTAAGAAAGTGAGCTTTGATAATTCCCTCAAACTATTTAGGTAAACAAAAAAACATTAGGTGTGCAAAGCCCACAGTTTTCTTATGACTTACTTTTCCAAAGAAGTTAAAAGTGTGTTTTAAAAATTTTTTTAAAAGCTTCTGGCACATAATTCTTCTTTAAACTAAACTCCTCCATAATATATATCACATTGAATTCATTCTCCCCTTTCTCTAGACAAATTATACACAAAAAAATTATGCAGACATTTTGACCATCTATATTTTTGCTTCCAAATATGCAACAAATTGAATTTTAGATATCAACTAAACTAGATCAAGTCAGGCAAATCCACTGCAGAAACTGAAATTTTTGCAAACTGATGTGTAAACCAGGTTTCCATTGGAAAATTAATGCAAAAACCTATTTCATTATTTTGAAACGGTGGTTTCAAACTTTTAAAAAATACAAAGTAACTTCATTTCCTGTATAAGTTTACTACAAACAAGTATGGTACAATAAAGCAGCTCAAAAACTAAATACTGCTCGGGGCCGGCCCGGTGGCACACTGCTACAGCGCGCCGCTTGGGAGTGCAGCGGCGGGAGCGCCGAGGGTTCGGATCCCACATACAGACCGGCTGAACGAGGAGCGGGTGCAACACCGAGGGTTGCGATCCCGTTGCCNATTTTCACATTTCTCTCATCTGTACCTTATCACAATAAACCCTTTAGTACTGTAACTTTAGCAATGAACTTAAAGGTTATGCCCTACTATCACCATTACCAAAAAAAAAAAGTTTAAGATGCTTAATCAAAAATTGCTATTCTATGAATGGTTAAACAAACTACGGTATATCTATATCATGGAATAGTAGTCAGCAATAAAAAGGAACAAACTATTGATAAAAGCAAAAACCTGGATGAATTTCAAAGGAATTCTGCTGCATAAAAAAAGGCCAAAGCCAAAAAGTTATATATTGGGTGATTCTTTTTAGTAAATATTCTTGAAGTGACAAAATTATACAAATAGAGAACAGATAAGTAGTGGTTGCCAGAAGCTGACAGGAGGGAGTTGGGGGGATGTGGTTCTAAAAGGGCAACAGAAGAATCCTTTGTGCTGATGGAACTGTTCTATATCTGAATTGTAGTGCTGGAATTTACACCTGTGACAACACTGCATAGAACTAATACACACATACACAAATGAGTACAAATAAAACTGGGGAAATCTAAATAAGATCAGTAGATTGTATTGATGTTAAGACAGTGAATAGTTTTGCAAGGCATTAGTGTTGGGGAAACTTACGTAAAGGGTATAGCTCTGTGTTATTTCTTAAACTATGTGTGAATCTACAGTTATCTGAAAATAAAGCTTGATTTTTTAAACAAGTGCCAACAACTGGGAAAATGTGAATTTGAAGTGGATATTAAGACAATGTTAGGGAATGACTGTTAATGGTCTGATGGTTAGGGTCGGCCCATGGCTCACTTGGGAGAGTGTGGTGCTGGTAACACCAAGGCCACAGGTTCAGATCC